CTAATTAACAATCAGAATTCATGGTTACAGTTTTGGTTCTTCCATTATATTACAATTCATATAATTACTTTTATCACTTCATGATAATTAATATGATATATGTATTCTAGTTTCAGTCTGTAAGTTGTAATTGCCAATTTTTAGGTAACTGCATTTGCTGGTATTATTATTCTCGGTTAGTAGAGTAGTTTGTTCTATTTTAAATTATCGACGCTCCTTACAAATAATTAATATGTATACTCCCATGCTAGTAAGTCGTAAATATAGCAATTTAGCACCATCTTAAATTTGTTACTACCAAGATTTGTATAACGCATAAAGTATGAGCATTTAGTTTGAGATAAATATCAAACACAAAAAGTAATTTAGTTGTTAGATGAACACTACCAAGGTTATGAAAGCTGACCATTTTCTGGTGTGTTAAAAAATACACTTTCTCTTTTTTATTGTTGCCCTCTTATTATACTTTATATGATTGCTTTTTTAATAGAGATAATACATAATTTCCATCCTATACTTGTCCCCTATTTTAGAAGATCGAGCACTACGTACCAAGCTTAATTCTTATACCTAATGCACAATGTTATTAACATGTGTAAATATAGAACTTAAATATATATAAGTTTGGAGCAAGATTTATCCTTAACGTGCTTAAAAATTTATTTTGGTTTTGCCATTATTGTCACGACCAAAATCCATTAAACGTCGTGATGGCGCCTAACAACGTTATTAGGCAAGCCAAAATAAATAATTGCCTTAGTTACCCCTTTTAGTATTTTTGAAATCGTAATTTCCCTCAATTAAGTAATAAGAGATAAAATTTACAGAATAAATAAAAATATTTCCACATTTACAATATTGAACAACCCATAAGTACCCCCAAAATCCGGTGTCACAAGTGCACAAGTATCAACTAGGAAATAAAATAAAATACAACATCTTTCCTGAATACAAATTAGACAGGAAAAATATATGTAACTCTGAAGGAGACTCTGCTGGCTGCGGATCGAAACAAGGGATGCAGCTCACCTAAGTCCCCACAATAACTGCGCCTCAACGCTCACAACGCTACTAGGCATATAGGTACCTGCACAAAATGTGCAGCAAGTGTAATATGAGTACGTAAATCAACGCGTACCCATTAAATATCCAGTCTAACTTCGAAGAAGTAGTGACGAGAGGTCGATTCCGACACTTACTATGGGCTGACAATAAAATACCGATGTCATAATTAAGCATGGATTTTTCATAATATAGCTGAAAACTCAATAACCGAAAATAATAAACAATCCTCTTACTAATAGAAATTCCCAAATTTTAATTTCATCATTTAACAATTTATATCTCAAGCCAATGAAACGAATATCAAGTATTATTAGTTTCAAAGAGTTATCATGCTCAAGTCATGCCGAGGTCGTACGGCCCGATCCAACATAAATATTTAAACTGTGCACCGTTGAGGGTCGAATGGCCAAAACCTCGCAGGTGCGGTTACACCAGATGACAGCAACTCCAGTATTCCTCCAAGCCCAAACTCGATCCGTTTACCATCCGGAATCTACCCGAGGCCTCGGGACCTCAACCAAATATACCAACACATCCTAAAATATATTACGAACTTAGTTGATGCCTCAAATCATATCCAACAATATCGAAACTATGAATCACCCTCCAATTCAAACTTAATGAACTTTAAAATTTCAAACTTTTATAATCGATGCCGAAACCTATCAAATCACGTCCGATTGACCTCAAATTTTTGCACACAAGTAACATTTGACATTACGGACCTACTCCAACTACCGTAATCGGAATCCGACCCCGATATCAAAAAGTCCACTCCCGATCAAACTTCTCAAAGTCATCCAAATTTCCAACTTTCGCCAAATGACCCCAAAATGACCTACGGACCTCCAAATCCACTTCTGGACGCGCTCCTAAGGCCAGAATTATCATGCAGAGCTATTCCCAGACTCGGAATCCCAAACAAACATCGATAACATTGAAATGCACTTCAACCCAATATTTATGAAATTCTTTCAAATGCCAACTTTCTACAATAGGCGCTGAAACGCTCCCGAATCATCCAAAACCCGATCCGCACATACGCCCAAGTCCAAAATCATCATACGAACCTGTTGGAACCTTCAAATCCCTATTTCGAGGTCGTTTACTAAAAAATCAACCCTTAACAAATTCCTCAAACTTAAAGCTTCTGAAATTAGAATTTCCTTCTAAATCAACTCCGAACTTCCCGAATTTTAATTTCGACAACACGTACAAGTCATAATACCCGAAGTAAAACTGCTCAAGGCCTCAAACCGCCGAATGACGCGCTAGAGTTCAAAACGACCGATCGGGTCGTTACAATTATCATTGTTAAAACTATTATTATAACGTGAGTAAAATATATATATTCTGTTTTCATAAAGTAAGAGTATTTAATTTGAGATATTAATACACAAATGAAGCAATTTTTCGATACTAACCAACAATGATTGTGATGGAGTGGTAAGTACTCCTTCATCTTTAACCAGAGATCTCAGATTCGAGTCCTTGGGTATGGAGTCGCCTTTGTTAGGGAGTGCTTTACCCTTCAAGATTTAATCGGGCCCCAATATGAATATCGAATATTGGGTGAAAATCCAAAAAAAACGATACTACACCCCACTACTTTCTTTAAGAACTCCCCCCCACCTAAAAAAAAAAAAAAAAAAAAAAAAGAACCAAACTTCTATTAATAATTCTTTATTTAAAAACCATAGATCAAGGACAAACAATTTAATAATCTATCTTTGCCAAGCTTTTAAATCAAATGTGTTTTTTTTAAACAAGGTACTTATATTGAAGAGTTTAAGCAATTTGACCANAACAAGCCGACATCTCAGTGTCTGCTTTTGTACCCTTCCAATACCATTCCTTTCTCTATAATTATTACACAACCAAATAGGATCAATAATATTATCTTGCCCACAGGCTTTTTTTTCGTTATTACGCGCCTTGTATTTTTCTTCCTCTGATAGTGTTTGTTACTAGCATTGCGCTCATACAACTTTTTCAACACCAGTACTACAACTTTATAAATTTCAACTTTTTAATTTTTAAATGTTTTGAAAGTTGGTCTTGTACCATTCTATCACGTTATTAGGTCCCAAAAAGAAAAGGAAAAGATAAAAAAAGAAGGATCAAATTTTTCATAACAAGAAGCAACCTCATTTGGGACGATATATAGATTTTTCTTCTTTTGAATTATTATTATTATAGGCAGTGACGGAGCCGCATGCACCCAAGGAGTGTCAACCGATACCCCTTCGTCGGAAAATTACACTGTTTAGCTTGATAATATTTTTAAAAATATGTATATATACTATATAATGACATCCCTAGACTCCTTGGTGAGTTTGTTTCTTTATATTTTGACTACCCTTAATAAAAATCCTGGCTCCGCCACTGATTATAGGGTTAAAAGATGTGATATGACCGAGCAGTAATTTTGACCAAATTTCTTAGCCTCTTGGCGCACTTTCTTCCATTTTTGGATGATTTTGTAACTAGCTATATGAGAAAATTAAAGTAGAAATATATATATATATATATATATATATATATATATATATAGAGAGAGAGAGAGAGAGAGAGCTGACCATTTTCTGGTGTGTTAAAAAAATACTCGATTTTGCAAGATTATGAGTATAGTGTTAGAAGAATGATTTAACAAAATTATTATTTTTACAAAACAATACATGAGTACGTACTACTACTCCCTTATAGCCATCCACCAATTTGAATTTAAATTACTATTGGTTGCTGTATACCTAGGGTTTTAGAATAGAAAGAGCCAAAAACTGGCCTGAAAAGCAAGACGCAAAAGAGGGACAGACGAAGTAGACATTTCAGATATAATCATCCCTTCAACAACATATATGGAACCCTATCATCATAGCCAATAGTTATAGTCGTTCGATGTCAGGCCCAAAATAGCAAAATTAAATCTCTCTCTAAGACTAAGAGTACTAGGGTTGGTTAATTATTTGTAAAAGTTCATAACTCCATTGTTTAAGTTTCTCTTAATTAATTCTCACTAAATTAGCAAACATTAATTAGAAGTTTACTACACTTTGATAGATGTTCTTTAAACTTAACCTTTATCTGACATACACATGCATGATAAGAAGGCTCTATTTTACCAACAGACTTTAATTTTCTAATAAAAAAAGAAAATTTGTATAGCTTCTTAATAACACTTATTAATGCTGANCTTCTCTAAAAGCCATCCCCCCAACAACCCGACATCTCTGTGTCTACTTTTGTATCCTTCTCTTTCTTTCTTCCCTTCTCTCTGACAAAATAGTAGAAGAAATAAAGCGGAAAAGCTCACCTCGAATGAGCTCTAGTGGAGGATGAAGAAGGACCTTGGCAGAGAGTCTTCTGGAACCTTCTCTTCCATTAGAAATGAACAGAGCTAAAGTGTACAAGATATAAAATGTAAAAGTTACTTAGTACAAAAATATCTACGCCTATTTATACTGTGTACATGTGTACAGTTGTGTATAGCTGTACCAACTACACTACAACTAATCTGTACAAAGAATAAATACACACCTGTTCTCAATAACCCCCCTCAAGTTGGAAGGGAGGGTCTCACAACCAACTTGCTAAGTAAATTGTAAATGTTTTATCCCTGTAAGAGGCTTGGTGAATATATCTACCAGCTGCCCATGTGTGGAAATGTGATGTAATGAGATGAATCCCTCGTGTAGTTGATTCCTCACAAAGTGGCTATCCACTTCTATGTATTTTGTACGTTCATGAAATACAAGTTTCTTAGCTATGTGGAGAGCTGCTTGGCTATCACAGAAAACTAGGACAGGTAATGTTAAGGGAACTGTCAATTCTTCAAGCATGCTAAGTAACCACACTAATTCTCCCACTACTTGTCTAGCTGCTCTGTATTTTGCTTCTACTGAGGATAATGAAATGGTGTGTTGTTTCTTAGATTTTTAGCTAATAGGGCTATCACCTAGCAACACAACATATCCACTAACTGATTTTCTTGACTCAGGGCAGGCTGCCCAGTCTGAGTCACAGAAGGCTCGAACCCTATAGTCTTTGCTGTTGGATAGAAAAATTCCTAAGCTTGGATCACATTTAAGGTACCTAAGTACATGGTATGCAGCTTTCAGGTGTGGCTCCCTAGGGCTCTGTATGTATTGACTCAAATGTACACAATGTAAGATATGTCAAGCCTTGTATTAGTTAAGAAATTCAACTTTCCTACTAGTCTCCTATAGTGAAAAGGATCAGAAAGTAGAGACCCCTCAGCTGCACTTATCTTAGTTGAAGGATCAAGTGGAGAAGTTAAAGCAAAGTACTTGGTGCAGTCAAACTCTGTCAATAGATCCATTATGAATTTTCTTTCAGATATCAGTACCCTATCATCCTTGTACAGAATCTCCAACCCCATGAAATAATGTAGCCTTCCCAGGTCCTTTATTTTGAAGGTCTCATGTAAGAAAGCCTTCAGTGCTTCTATTTCCTGTAAATCAGTCCCTATTATTTGGACATCATCTATATAAATAGCCACAAATACCACTGAAGTTCCATGCTTCTTGTAGAACAATGAATAGTCGAGTAGGGAGTGTGTGTATCCACTGGAACAGAGTGTTGCAGTCAACTTCTCATACCATTGCCTGCTTGCTTGTTTCAGACCATATACGGACTTATTCAATTTTTACACTAAGCCTGGCCTTTCCACCACAAGACATGGAGGTACCTCCATATATACTTCCTCATGGAGGTCCCCATGGAAGAATGCATTGTTGACATCTAGTTGGAAGATCTCCCATACTTTCTTCACTGTTGTCCCAATTAGAGCTCTAATAATTGTCATCTTTACTACTGGTGAAAAGGTTTCTGTATAGTCTACTCGTGCCTGCTGAGTGTATCCCTTTACTACTAGCCTTGCTTTAAATCTTTCTATGCTCCCATCTGCCTTGTACTTCACCTTATATACCTATTTACAACCTATTATTCTTTTTTCAGCTGGAAGTGGCACTAAACTCCAAGTATGGTTGGCATAAAGTGCTTCAAATTCCTGATTCATAGCTGTCTGCCATACAGGATCAGCAGTTGCCTCTTCATATGGACTGGGCTCAGTTCCATGTGAAATATTTTTGATCAATTATTGATTATCAGAACTCAAAGCATTGAGTGAAACACATTAGGCATTGGGTATAGATACATTAAAAGAAATTGAGGTAGTGCTTTGGTTTCTACTGGAAGGAGAGTTAAGTTGGCTTGTCTGTAACATAGGGAGTGAGCAGTTATAATCTTTCAAATAGGTAGGGACTTTGAGAGTTCTGGAAGGTCTTTCTGATGTTTCATTAGGTTTTTGAATCACTAAGTTGGGAGCATTGTTGGTAGATGTATCATGCTGATTGTTGTCAAATAAGGTAGAACTTCAAAGTTTGAAGTTGTATGAGAATTGGATTCACTCAGCCCTGGTGATGAGGAGTCAGGTGACATAGCTGGAAGATATGGACCAGGTAAACTAGGAAGAGATACTAACTTATGAGGAGGAAACATATCTTGTGCCAAATCTGAATTTACTTGTGGAAATGAGGGAAACACTCTATTGGAATCAGAATGCAAAGTAAAAGGAAATACACTTTCATGGAATACAACATTTCTTGATACATGAATTTTCTTTGTGACTAGACTGAGTACCTTGTAACCCTTTGTCCCAAAGGGGTATCCCACAAAAACATGAGAATATCTGGGTTTTCTTTTGTAAAGTAATTCCAATGGGTATTTGTTTTTGAAGGTAGTAGAAGGGAGTCTGTTAATCAAATAGGTTGAGGTGATAATGCATTCTCCCCAGTATTGCATGGGGAGTTTAGACTGCTACAATAGTGCCCTGGCTGTTTCTATAAGATACTTGTGTTTCCTTTCTACTATGCCATTCTGTTAGGGCATATAGGGACATGTTTTTTGATGTATAATGCCCTCAGACTGCAAGAAAGAAGAAGACTCAGAGTTTATGAACTCAAGACCATTTTCAGTTCTAATGGTCTTAATGGAGTAATTTAATTGATTCTTTACCATGGCAGTAAAAGCCTTGACTACTTGCAGAGCATTACTTTTGCAGCTAAGCAGGTGTGTCCAAGTACACCTATTGTAGTCATCTACTAGGGTGATGAAGTACTTATGCCTATCGTATGTTGGGACATGATAGGGCCCCCATAAATCAACATGTAGGATTTTAAATATTTTGGTTGTGACTGTAGTTCTTTCTGAAAAGGGCAATTTGTTTTGTCTAGCCATTGGGCATATTGGGCAAATGAAAGGTTGTTTGGGTGAAAATGAACAGGTATGGACTCAATTCCTCTCATTTTGGCAAAGGGTACATGTCCCAATCTATTGTGCCACAAGAGATCAATCATATCTTTATCAAACATAGATGCATTGTATGTAGAATTGGCATTTCCTTTACATTACACATCAGAATTTATGACAACTTTATTACATTCATGAGAAGAAGTGTGTGAACTAGGTACAACATGTGAAACAGAGTTGTGTGAACTAGGTACATCATGTGAAATAGAGTGTGAGACAACATCATTACTACTAGTTAGTCTAGATGGAACATGTGAAACAGATTTAGTGATTGCATCACCTTTATTAGATGAACTAGATGAATTGGCATTAAACAAGGAATTATATTTGTAGGAATCTGAGGTGTAAAGGTACAGACCATCTTTACTTTTACCAATTGCTAGAGGCCTCTTCAGTGAAGGGGCCTGCAAAAGGATACAAGCAAATTTGGTAAATATGACAAAGCAATCAAGTTGAACTGTTAAGAAATGCACAGAAATTAGGTTAAATTTGAAACTACGGACAAAAAAGACTCTTTTCAGGGTGAACCTAGGACTCATGACTACATCTCTCATCAATGTCACCTTCACCTTATAACCATTAGGCAATGTAACTAAGAAAGGGTAAACTAGATTTTTCACATTGGTCAACATTTATTTGTTATAGGTCATGTGATTTGATGCCCCAGAATCAAGTATCCAAGAATCAGTAATTGATCTAAAACACTCATATGAGTTAGCACCAGAATCAAAGGAAGTTGGGCAAGCTGAAATACCTGCAAAGTTCACAGCTCCTGCTTTCAGTTCATTTCTTCTATTTCCAGCATGAAAATTCTCCAGGATGCTCAACAGTTAGTTATACTATTCCTTTGTATGGTTTTGCATGGTTCAATCATGTTCCTGTACTTGGCCATAGCCTCTATCTTCACCTTCAATGCCATTCTCACTTTGACTTCCATATACATTAGCAACAATTCTCTTTCCTTTGTTGAACCTTGAATCTTATGGATAACCATGTAATTTGTAGCATCTTTCCTTAGTGTGACCTGGTTTCTTACAATAGTCACAAAAAGGCCAGGGTCTGCTCCTAGAATATCCTTCCATATAGTTATTGTTCCCAGTTCTGTTTCCTTGTTGATTGTAGTTTGTATATCTAGCATTGTCTGAAGTATTTGATTGTTGATTATAGCTTGTTCTGAAAGAATTTTCTCCTGACCTATTTGCACTCAGGGCAGTAGATTCAATAACAAACTGATTGTTTGGTTTGACCTCTCTTTGTTTCTCCTCTTGGATAAGGATTGAAAAAGCCAGTGTGAGTGAAGGCAACAGATTCATCATCAGAATACTTCCCCTTACCACAGTATAAACTTCATTTAGCCCCATTAAGAACTAAATCAACCTCCTATCCTGCTCAGCCTTCTGCATATTTGCCTTAGCACCACATGTACAGTTGCATTTGCACTGAGCATGTGCATTCAATGTGTTCAGCTCTTCCCAGAGCTTCTTCATCTTAGTGTAATACCCAGTGATGTCTAGGGTTCCTTGACTCAAAATCATTTATCTCTTTCTGCAATTGATATAGCTTCGCTCCGTTTGTCTGATCATATCTATCCTCTAGTTCCTGCCAAAGTTCCTGAGCATCATTAACATATTGTAGACTATCCGCTAAATCCTTTGAGATAGAATTCAGAATCCACGACGTGACCATATCGTCACAACGTTCCCATTGATTGTAACTAGGGTCTTTGGAATCCAGTTTCCTGCATTTTTCGTTTATGAATCCCACCTTGTTTTTCACTGAGAGAGTTCTGAGAACTCCTCTTCTCCATGACCTATATCCCGATCCGTCGAAAGGTACAGGTACAAGCATAGAACCCGCACTTTCAGATGGATGCATGTAGAGTGAATTTGTCGAATCTAGAAGCGGATTTGTGGAATCCGTCGTGTTTTCGTCAATAGCCATACTTATCGAGGATCGAATTGAAAATAGGGAAAATTTTGCTACTCGCACAGAAAACTATCGTAGAGATATAATCGAATGAATAATCGACTGATTGAGCTTAGGATTGAGAGCCTAGCTCTGATACCATGACAAAATAGTAGAAGAAATGAAGAGGAAAAACTCACCTCGAATGAACTCTAATGGAGGATGAAGAAGGACCTTGGCAGAGAGTCTTCTGGAGCTATGTCGAATGAGCTCTGATACCAAACAGGATTAGTAATATTATCTTGCCCACATGCTTTTTATTCCTTATTACGCGCTTTGTATTTTTCTTTCTCTGATCGTGTTTGTTACGTGCACTGCGCTCATGCAACTTTTTCAACACCAGTACTACAACTTTATAAACTTCAACTTTTTAATTTCCAAATATTTTGTAAGTTGGTCTTGTACCATTCTATCATGTTATTAGGCCCCAAAAAGAAAAAAAAAAGATAAAAAAAAGGATCAAATTTTTCATAACAAGAAGCAACCTCATTTGGGACGATATATAGATTTTTCTTCTTTTGAATTATTCTTATAAGGTTAAAAGATGTGATCGAGTAGTAATTTTGACCAAATTTCTTAACCTTCTGGCGGACTTTCTTCCATTTTTGGATGATTTTGTAACTAGCTATATGAGCAAATTAAAGTAGAAAGAAATATATATA